CTAAGTACTAGGAGCACACCAGGCACTCTCTATAAAATAGGGCCCCTTGCCCTAGACAAAGGGTAAGACTTTCAACTTGACTTTTAGACTCATACATTGTTGATAGCAAAGTTCTTAAAAGAAACTTACTTTAGCATCGGAGGGACTTCGGCCGATACCACACCGGTGCTCTAGACCTCATCTTTTGTTTCTCTCCGTGACCTAGATCCAGCGTCCCAAGGACGGACGCGTTCATACCGAAGGCCCAATTAGTCCCTAGACCGTCCACATCACTTGTAAGTTGCTTATATTTCTATCTGTTTAGTTCTAGCGCCAACACTATACATCAGCCAAATTTATGGCGACACCACAAGACCCAACAAGTCCAAAGGGCCAAACTCAAATGGGATGTTCTCTATTAAAGCTTACATTACATGGATAATCCAAGCTCCATCTCCAACTTTGCCAGCAAGGTCAGTTTTTGCAAGGATGATCTATGAATGTAGACTTAAAAAAATAGATGGTTTGGATCGTTGAAAAAAAATTCGTAAGGGAACCTAAAAGGTGTCCCTCAATAGAAGGGGACTGATATATCTAGAGAGAGCTTCAGTTGAGAGATCCGTCAAATATGCTTATTTAAGGGACACCCTTGTAGGGCCCACTCCATATTGTATTTCACTAATCCAAACCGTCTATTTTATAAATACTCATTCAAAGATCATCTCTACAAAAAATCACTTGAATCCAATATCATATATACACTCAATTGAATTATTGAAATTTTAGTACTTTCTTGAAGCATCGTGTTCATTGATTTTGTAAGACACAATTGGATATCGAAACGGTTTCCAATTTCTCTAATTTTTTGTAAGGATGATCTATGAATGAAGACCTAAAAAATAGATGGTTTGGATCATTGGAAAAAAAAAAATTGTAGGGTACCCTAAAAGATGTTCTTCAAATAAAATTATTTGAGGGATCCCTTAATAGAAGGGGACTGATATATATATATCACACACACACACACAGAGCTTCCATTGAGGGATTCCTCAAATTAGTTTTTTTTAGGGACACCTTTGTAGGGTCCACTTCGCTTTGTATTTCACGAATCCAAACTGTCTATGTTTTAGATAATCATTCAAAGATCATTTCTATTAAAAAAAATCACTTGAATCCGATATCGTTGACCACTCAATTGTGTTTTTGAAATTTTAGTACTTTTTGAAAGTATTGTGTTCATTGAGTTTGTAGGATCCAATTGGATGCTGAAACGGTTTCCGATTTGTCTAATTTTTTGCAGGGATGATCTATAAATGTAGACTTAAAAAATAGATGGTTTGGATCGTTGGAAAATAATTCATAAGGTAACCATGACACTTTTACTCAAATGCAGGCCATATATTCGAACACAGTAGGTAGATAATACCTTTGGTATAAACAACAAGAAGATTAGTACGAGCTCATTATTTGTTCATCTTCTCAGTAGGTAGAAAGAGAGAAAAAAAAATCTCACGTGAAAAAATCGATGGGTTAGGGTGCAATTTGAGATAGGATTTGCTATTTATATCTCCCATTAAAAAATCTCACACAATCTCACATTTAAAAAAATCATTCAAAATTAGCAAGTTTTTGAATACCATAAAAAAATTTGTTATTTGTTTAAAATCTTGATTGAATACCATTAGATTTGGCTACTATCTTTTTAAAATCCTAATAATCTTAATGGAATACCACAAGACTTATTTAGATGATTTAAAAGTCTTAATTGAATACCACATGACTTATTTATTATAAAATAATCTTGTAAAATTCCAATTGAATACACCCCCTAGCATCAAGCAATTTTTTAAAAAAAAATTTTAAAAAAAGTTTCTAAAATTCTAAATGATAAAGATTCAAATTGTACTGTTGCCACTTTCTCCCATCTTGTTGGTGCACCATCTTTGTCAATTTAAATCGCTATTTTCAACTTTCAATATTTTAATTAGTTAGAAGTTGATGTGATTGGAGGGAGGCCTTGACCAACCCAATAATTTCTTGGAAATTATGCTGCCTTGAGTTACAAATTTTAGCCTTTTCCTTTAAAGAATCTCGAATCTATTAATTAATTGGAAGTCAGATCTCTTCTGGAATATCAATGTAAATGAAGTCATCCCTTCCTACTCTTCTTTCTTGGACTTTGCTTATTCTTCTTCGTTTTTTTTTTTCAATTTTCTTTTTTAATTTTATATAACCATAATTATGGTCAATACTCGTATTCATATATTCTTGTCTTTCTTGATCTAAGCGAAGACTTCATTTGTTAATCACTTGTAATCTTCCTATAATAATATATTTGGCCCTTAGCAGCAAGGTGGGGCATATCTACTTCTTTAATTATGTCTAGTTGTTAAATTTACATCAATGATGACATATGACGTGTACACAGTTTGTCCCTTCCAAGAATTAGAAATTTCATAGGCATTGGTTTAGACAATTAAAATATAGGAAATTAAAATACAACTCTACTCCGAACATGTAACTGCAATTATGTTTCTTGACAAGAAAGATGAAGAAATCGTAGTTACCACCCCCACCGGATACCGATCAGCAATGTGTGTGCTATATCTCTTTCTTTTGGGCAAACTGAAAGCAATATGCATGAATATTTGATTTAGTCAAAGCTAGAGTTTGAACAACAGAATATTTGATTTAGACAAATGTGGAAAATCAACTTTTATTTTCCTCGGGAAGAAAAGGGTGCACAAATTCGACATTGACTCGTTGAATAAGGACAGCAGACTTAAATACATTTTTGGCACGGCCAATGGAGTGTAGATTCTTCTTTCACTTGTATTATTCTATATAATTAATAACCCAGTTGAGCATTTTCAATCTACAGTGCATTTGTCTATATAAATAAAAACTCCATCTGACTTGGAAGTCTTGAATTGCAGACCTTGAAGAATTTCAACAATGGCCAAGAATGCTCCCTTCAGCTCTGTTTTTGTTCTTTTCTTCTTGTTCTTAGTGCTTGGGAAATTTTTGGCCATGGCAGAAAACACAACGATCCCAGTTAATGTGGGTGTGCTTATTGACTCTGATACATGGTATGGGAAGATGGGGCTGAGCTGCATCAGCATGGCTCTCTCTGACTTCTATGCCTCTCATTCTAACTACAAGACAAGGCTGGTTCTACACCAAAGAAACCCTACTTCAAATGTTGTTGTTACAGCTTCTGCAGGTTCTTTCCATCTCTCTCTCTTATCTTTTTTCATGTTTTGTTTTTGTTCCATCGAATTAAATTATATCCACCCTTTTATTTTAATCAATCATTTTGGAGTTTCAATTTTGGAGCTTAATTTCTTGGCTTATTTACTGTAGCACCCCCTGAAACTTCGGTCAAAGCTCACTTAACCCCCCCAAAGTTAAAATGGCCCACTTAACTCCCTTGACCGTGGTTTTGTGTTTCACTTAATCCCTCACC